CCCAGCATCTCAGATTCCAGGGAGGAATTCCTGCTTCCCAGCATCCCAGATTCCAGGGAGAGATTCCTGCTTCCCAGCATCTCGGATTCCAGAGAGGAATTCCTGCTTCCCAACATCTCAGATTCCAGGGAGGAATTCCTGCTTCCCAGCATCTCAGATTCCAGGGAGGAATTCCTGCTTCCCAACATCCCAGATTCCCCACCAGCCCAGGGAGGCAGCCTGGCCTCCTCAAATCACCTGTTTAGCCAAAAATCCTCTAATTAGAACGACACCAAATGGCTTCAAGATTTCCCTGAAGGATGTTTTAAAGCTGGTTTCAAATATGATTCCCCAATTACCACACGAGAATTTCAGCATTGTTACAGTGGTTGCTATTTTTAGGTCTCTGAAAACAGACAGCAAAATGCTGGTGACATCAGCACTTGACTAGTGTCGACTTGTTTCACTACCAAATGGATGCTGCATGGTGTGGGCAAGGAAATAAAAATCCCAAACCAATGTAGAGCTTGAATGTGTAATAATGTAAAGCTTATTGAATATTGGGGCAGGGCTCCAGACAGTGTCTGGAGGTCCAGAGGAAGCCTTGGTAATTCTGTTACTCAAACATCAATGGTGGTTGTAAAGCAGCTTGTAAGAGTGAGGGAAATATTGACCTAAGTGAAACATCAACATGCACTGATGTGGTTTTTCTTAAATGAAAAAAATTCTCCCTAATTTTTTGTTCAAAAAAAAAAAAAGCCATTAGGTCATTAGGTAGAAAAGTATATGAAATTCAGCCAGTGCTATGCAGATTTTCCTCACTGTTTTATCCACCTCCCTCCACCACCCAGCAGCTTTGTCTTTGTGGGTAGCACCTTCAAGCCTCCCTTTCTGTTGCAGGATTTCCACATCATTTTAGCACTCCCTGTTTCACACCATGGGTGAACATCCCTCTGGTGCTCCACAGGCACTTCTCACTCCAGCAAGGTGTTCAGGGGCCAGGTGAGTGCCAGGTCACACCTCCTGCACCTTCCCATCCCAGTGCCAGGTCACACCTCCTGCACCTTCCCATCCCAGTGCCAGGTCACACCTCCTGCATCCCCCATCCCACCGTGCCTGTAGAGCTGGGACTGCCCTCTGGGCTGCCTCAGGGCTCTGTTTGGCTTTTTGGGGTTTGTGCCATCTGGTAACTGCTTGGGGAAGGGGGTAGGAAACAGCAGTCCTGCATCCCAGCATCACTGCTGCTGTTTATTCATTCCTTTTGTTGGAGACCTGGCAACCAGCTATTAATGTGAGCCTGGTGGGAATTAATTTTGGAGTAAGCTTTTGTATGGAATGCTTCCCTGAGATGGAGCTGGATTGCACTTCCTTCAACCATTAATTTGCTAATTCCACCAAAACCAAGAAGAATATGCTTTTCTGACTCCCAGCTCTCACAGTAGATTACAGGGCTTCATTTACTTGTGCAAACAAGTTATCTGGAGCCTGCTCTTGCTCTCACAGTGGTCAGGAGCTCCTCATGACTTGGGTGTGCCTTCACTTGGGCCCTGGGGTCTGATCCAGGGATTGAGCCTGGTCCTGCTGGTCCCTGGAACACTTGCTGAAGGCAAGGGCCTGCCAGGATGTCATCCTTCCCTGCTCTCTGACATCAGAGCCTGCTGGAAAAAAATGACTGTTGTGCCACAAATAGCATGATTGAGTCACTTTGCTACAGGATCAGCTCAGAGGAGGGGGAAGCGACCGGCGAGGAGGGAGAGGAGCAGGAGATGTGGGATCTGCTCAGGGGAAACTGGCAAACAAAGGAAAAGAAACAGGTATTGCCTCCTTTGGCCCTCTGCCATCAGGGTGACTCCATTTCATAAATTCCTCCACAAAATGCAGGACAAGAGCAGGATTCAGGGTGCACCTGCACCTCTCTGCCTGTTGGCAGGGCAAGCCTGGCTGCACATTTACAGAGAGGAGGGGAGCTCAGGTGAATATTCAGGGACTGTTTGCTTGCTTGCTTACACCTGCTGTGTATTTTTGAGTAGGATCATTGTTATTTGCACCTGGAAAAAACTGGACCTAGTAGTCCTGTTTTCAGCAAGAATGCAGGTCCAGGAGTCAGTATAGAAAGCAGCCCTAAAGAAATCCATTTCCTACCACTGTGAGCAAAGCTAGAGGGACTTCAAGCATTCAGGGCACCTGCCTTGTACCCCCAGTGCTTCCAGCAAGCCACTCTGACCTGAGGTACAGCTGGGGAGCAGGAGCTGCCATTGCTCAGAGCTTCACTTTAGTAATTGTCATTTTCTCCAGGGGCAAGGGAGCAGCTTCCAGGAAAACCAGCCAAAAGTTAAACCAGCACAGGCAGCTCTTACTGAGGCCTGGAAATAGCGGGCAAACAGCTGTCATTTTCTTTCATTTGGCCTGGGTGCAATTTTCCTCTTCTTTCCCATTTGCACAGGTCATTCCAGGGAGCTGGAATGGGAGGGGAAGGGAAGGGAAGGGAAGGGAAGGGAAGGGAAGGGAAGGGAAGGGAAGGGAAGGGAAGGGAAGGGAAGGGAAGGGGTCAGTACATGAGGAGCTGAGTGTCCCAGCCCCAGCCAGCTTGAGTGCAAACCCTCCAAGGACTTGCTCTGCCTATCACCCATGCTGCTGGGTTCACACTGCTCATTCTTCAAGCTAAATAGCAGCTGATAAAAATACACCAGCACTTGTACTTGTGCTGTGCAGGTGTGTGCAGAGATTGCCCACCAGCCTGGGGGAGGCAGCTCTGTGCTCAGGTGGGCTGATAGCAGCAAAGAGCAGCCTGAGCTCAGCAGCACTCTTTGCCCCCTCCTTCCTGGATTTATACTCCTACCTGCCTCCAAGTCAAAACATCTTCCTGCCTGCCCTTCTCTCCTGTTGGGATACAGTGAGGAGATGTGGGGGAGTCAGCTGTGGGACTGCTGAGTCTCTCTGGAGGGTCAGCAAAGCCAGCTCGGGGCTCTGTGACAGATTCAGCCAAACAACCCCACTGGCAATGGGGAGAGATGCTGGACCTGTCCTGGGGAGGGAGAGGCACAACAGGGACAGGCTCACAGGGCTGGGTTTGTTGCTGTCTCTGGGTCTGGAGCAGAAAGCTTCCATTAATAAAAGGCAAAAGCAGCCCAGACATGACCCCAGGGAGCCCAGGGTGTCCCTCAGCACCAGCAGTGCTGCTGCTCCCTTGGCTTCCCTGGGCTCTGCCGCAGCAGGGAGAGCACGGGGCACAGCCACCTCTGGCAGGATGATGTTCTGGGCAGCCTCTTGCTTTGCCATGCCCTGCCCTGCCCAAAACAGCCCTGCCACTCAGAGAGGTGTAAAATAACCCTAAAGTCACACTTTGCCACAGAACATGACAGAGCACAAGAGCTGATATGTAAATGGGAAGGGTGGGTGCACCCTCTCTGAAGGGGAAAGGTCTTTCCTCCCCCCTTGCCTCCATCTCTGGGACAAAAGCCCAGAGATGCTATCACAAATATTTGTGGAGGCAGGTCAAAAGAGCCAGCTGTGAATTTTGGTAACTGAAAAGGAAAATAAAAAACATGACAAAAATAAAAAACCCTCACCAAACCCAACAACAACAAAAACCCAAACAAAAAAAACCCCCAAAACCCTGAGACTAAAGCAAACAAATACAGGGTTGGAAAAGTCATTTCCCAGATTTCAGCTACAGCATCCTGAAGCTGCAAATTTGCTTTTTTGCCCTCTGCTTCTCCACTCAACTTTATTACATACCCTGGCCCCTTCACATACCCAGATGAAAGAGTAAGGTCAACCTTTTCTCCCTGCCCTTCACACAAGCACAGCTATTTCAATGGCCTTGGACTTGCCTATGTTCCAGACACGGCAAAGCATCTCCTCATTGAGGACCATTCTCCTACCAGATATCAATTTTCAAGCCTCCATCCTCAGAATTGTTCTAATAAACAGATGTTTTCCTTAACCTTACACAAACCTATCTTGAACACAAAAAATGACCGAAGTGGTTTGACTAAAAGGGTACAAACATTTAGTCTTGGATACCACAGTAACAAAGGCTCATCTCCATAGCCCAAACTTGCAGAAAATTATAAGCAACTGAAAATGAATGTTTCAAATGGAAGTGTTATGCAACATGAATGACAGTGACCTGAAACGCCCAGAGCAGACTATTCCCCTCTCCAACATCCATCTATAGCAGCACAGGAAATGTTGGAGGCCTGAAAGAAACAGCCATTTCCAGCTTGGAGAAAGAACAGAGACACAAAACTGCGTAGCACTGGAGTATCTTTTGGGCTCTTGCCTTGCCAGAATATTTTTAGAGACAAGAGAAGTTCAAATGAGGTGTGATTTTTGACAGGAGTAAGAGCCTGAATGAGGGATGTGGGACTCCAGGGGCTCTCCAAAATGCAGTTTATTGTACCCAAGAGTTACAGCATCCAGGGTTGTGGGTGACAGAGCTGTGCCCACAGCTGCCAGCTCCAGCTGCAGGCAGCCCTGGACACCCTTTGGTTTAGGTTACAATGCATTTTATACTTTTCTTTGCTGAGTATCTTCATACAGCAGAACCAATCTATACCTTAACTATTATCTATAGCCTATCATAACTACTGTAATTACCATATTCATGTTACTGTTCTCCAATCACTCAAAGTCAGTACATTACAGTTTAAGCTAGAAGTTGTTTTTCAGTTTTCTTGCAGTGGAAAATTCTGAGACCTTTTTTCTACTTGCCACATTTGCTGACTTGTTTGCCTGTGCTCTCTTCCTGCTTGGTAAAAACATCTTCTTGTTTGAGGTGGGTTTATCCTTTGCTCTAAGCCATACAAACCCCTTCTAACCAACACACCCTTGGTTAGCCAGTGAGACTGGCTCAGCAATTCTTTTCTTCTATATCAAAACTTGCTTCCATCTCTATTCCTTCTTCAGACTCTACATTCAAAAATCTTTCTGCTAGCACACATATCTGTGAGACTTTCTTGTCCAACTTTCATCCTTCCCAACAGACAGGAGCCATTAAAGCAAACCCTGGGGCTCACCTGAGGCCGTAGAGGACGGTCCCGTCGGGGTGCAGCCGGATCATGCGGTTCTTCACCGTCACCCCGTGCAGAAAGGACTTCTTGTCGTTCAGGAAGTAGGTGTCAGGCAGCCACAGCTGGTCAGCCACCCTGTTGTCCAGGGTCAGGTTGAGAGGAAGGTCGTTGTAGGCCAGGCGTTTGTCCCGCCAGCTCTGCTGGAAGTACATGGTGATGGTGTAATCCTGGCAGAGAAACGGGCACACGTCAGCTGGGCCACTGCAGCTCCAGCCCCTCTCCAACCACTGCCAACACCTCCCACGGGTCCTCAGCACCCAAATGGGTGGGTCTACACCTCCAACACTTTTTTTAAGGGTTTTTTTGGAGCTTTTTTGGGTTTTTTTGGTTTATTTTGGTTGGTTTGTTGGTTTTTTTTTTTTTTGGTTTTTTTTTTTTTTGGTTTTTTTGGGTTTTTTGTTGTTTTTTTTTGTTTTTTGGTTTTTTTTTGTTTTTTTTTCGTTTTTGTTTGGTTTGGGTTTTTTTTTGTTTTGTTTTAGTTTGGGTTTTTTCTCTTTTTTTTCCTCTTTTTTTGGAGGGGTGTGCGCTGCGATTCGTTCTGTGAAAGTGGGAGCAAGCCCAGGTTTTACAGGGGACAAAACACCATTACATTTTGTCCCCTGCTCCCCCTGTCCTTGCCATTTATGTTTCCAATCAAGCAAAACTGCATCCCAGCCCTGCTGCCCCAGCCTGCTGAGAGCTTGTCTGCACCACCAGCAGCAGTTCAGGTATGGGAGCACCAAAGGCTGCTCAAATTTATGGGGAATAAATTTTAGCCAACAGTGGTTACCCAGCAGAGACTTCCAGGGCTGTTCCCCACTTCCCTCACACAAAGGTCACATAAATGAAATCCACCCATGTCCAGGCTCTGCTCCTCTAGTTGGTAAAAGCTAATTTTGGTTTCAGCAGAAGCTGAGGTTGTTCCAAAGGGCACAGGGAGAGCCTCAGCTCGAGGCCAAGGTTTGAAGATCAGGCCAGGCCAGCCAAGACAAGCTCTGAGCACTTGCCTCACTATGGGAGCTGAGCTGGGAGCTCGTGGTGGTTCTCAGGAAGGGGCATAAGGGGAGGAAATCTGTCATCAGTGGAGCATGAGCCACTGGCAAAGGGGCAGTTCCCTGAAAAATTCCCCATAAATTTGGGCATCAGGAGAAAGTTCTTCATGGAAAGGGTTGTTAAACATCAGAATGGAGTGTCTAGGGAGGTGGTGGAGTCCCCATCCCTGGAGGGGTCCAAGGAACCACTGGATGTGGCACTCAGGGCCATGGTCTGGCTGACAAAGCTGGGGTCAGTCAGTCACAGGTGGAACTCAATCTTAGAGGACTTTTCCAGCCTAAATAATTCTGTGATTCCCAAGCCATCCCCAGCTAGCACAATGCCATACAAACCTCCTGCTCTCCTCCTGTCCAACAGAGCAAAGCTGACACTTCAAACTGTTGCTAACACCAGAATTTTACAGAAGGGAGCAGGAGCTGTTGGTGGCTGCTGCTCTGCAGAAACCAAACCCATTGCTGGGCACATCCAGGGCACATCCAGAGGCCTTGGATCAGCCTGTTCAGAGGCACACTGTGGTGCCACATAATAGAACAGCTTCTTCTTCTTCTTCTCAGCTAAACAAGCAGTACAGGAAGGAGTCTTGTACACACCAACAACAGGAAACATTCTCAGGAAACATTATCATAGCAGGTCTTAAATATGCTGGGAGATAAGAGTTTTGGAGGAAACCAGATGGCATTAAAAGCTATGGATTGATTAGGAAGTGAGCACAAGTCCTGTTGACAGTGACCTTACAGAAGTCAGAGATTTTTCCCCAAGTCCTTAAATAAAAAGCTATAGGAATGTGCTTCTTGTTGACAGAGTGATAAATCTATCTTTTGTCCCCTTAAAAAGGAAATAAGACTAGAAGTTTCTCTTCTCAATTAGGTGAAAAGACATCTCCTAGGACTTAGGAGACTTCATCTCAAACTTAAGGATAGCCAACTGGACAGAAGCTAAAAAGTCTCGCCTAAGCAATTTAGTAGAAAAAGAAGAGAACAAAGAAACGAATGGCTTTTGTGAGGTGTTTTACTAGGGGCAAAGACCTTTGGCACCTGGCTCAGTTTTTCTCTGTAAAGAGTTTTGTTATTTTGCCTTTTATTAAAACCTTTTTAACACTACCACAGAAGCCATCCTGCTGATTTTAAGCCTTCTAAGGTAGCTGAGCTATCTTGGGTGTGAAACAGATCTCCAAGATCTTATGAGACTTAGCTCAAAGAGACCCATATTAAAAGCATTTTTGCAAATGATCTAGAACAGGTGGGATCACAGACACATTGTCTCTTCTCAAGCAGTCCCTGCAGTGCCACAGGAATCTCCTTGACCACATGAATTTGCAGGATGAGCCTTTCTGCTCTGCAAATCCCAGGGAGGAGCTGGTGAGGAGCTTGCTCATGCACCAACATCTGGGCTGAGCACTGAGGCATCTGCCTGCCTGTCTTCTCCCACAGCCTTCATTCAAAGCCAGGTTTGATTAACACCTCTGAAAACAAGCTCCAATAATCCCACATCACAGATAATGCCAGCTTTTGGGTATCTAACTATGATTCAGAAACCCAGAGCCACATGCACATCTGAAAGGTCATGGTGTAAATCTGTGGAGCACACCAGATACAGAGCTGTATCTGTCACTTGCTGGGCTGTCTTGAAAAGAACAAAGATGCACTGACAGCTTGCTGGCCAAGGAGCTGTTTTGCTCTGCTTTTTAAAGGACTCTAAACTCCAGCCTCAGAAGTCTCACAGTCCATCTCTCTGGGGCACAAACATTCTCATTTTGTCAGGACCCTGCAAAGGAAGATATTGCCCCCAAAACCCCTCCCAGGGTGCTTGGGGCTGCACTGCAGTGAGAGCACAGAGGAGCAGAGCATCCAAATTCCTGAATCCTCTTACTGCTGTTGGTAACAGGCTCATCCCCTGCCTGTGGGACACTTGCTACAGAGACATCCTTTCCATTCCCCCCTTTGAGAACCCCACCCACACATCTTGGCAAGCTCCTTCACTGACCTGCATTTCCCTAACCCTTGACAGAGCCCTGCAACACCTCACCCCTAACCAGGCCACCCTGCTGTCACTGCAGGCTCCTGCCAGCCTTCAAGCAGCAGCAGGCAAGAGGTGGCACTGATCTCCAGAAGACAAAAAGGGCAAGCTGCTCACAAAGTGAACAATGCCCCTGGTGAAACACATCCTCTGTGTTCCCAGGGCTGATGGAACAGGCTCAGAGGGGTGCTGACAGAGAAGCTACACCCTGCCATCAGCTAGAGGATGCTCTTCAGGTGCAGAGACCTTCCTGGGAAGAGCAGGCAGCCCAGCCCAGGGCTGAGCTCTGTTCTCCAGCCTTCCTGGGTTCCTTGGCACAACAGATTTCTCTGGGCAGCATCGTGGAGGTGAGAACTTGATAACCATGGTTCATGGCAGGGTCTCAGGTTTCCCTCAGCCTCTCTCTCTGCTGGTTCCTGTGCTCCACTTCTTGTTCTGCTGCTGAACAGCAGGCAGGATTTCTGGGCAGAAGGAAGAGCAGGGCAGGTGCCCACCCCACAGTGGTCAGCCCTCCCAGGAGGGACAAGGGGCACTGACATGGCACGGACAGAGCCCAGCCATGGGCAAGAGGAGCAGGGCAGGCACAGCTGAGGCTGGAGGCAGCACTGGCAGGGCCCCTGCAGCAGGTGAGAGGGGCAGAATGCAGGAGAGAAGCAGTGAGCTTGCCTGCCCCTGCATGCCCCATTTCCAGGGGGCCAGGCAGCCATGGAGTACCCATGTGCCACCCTAACATCACACCCTGGCCAGGCTCCAGAGCTGCTGGGACCTTAATCCCAGCCTTCCTTGCAGAGGCACACAAGGGTGGCACTTGGGACCTTAATCCCTGCCTTCCTTGCAGAGGCACACAAGGGTGACACTTGGGACCTTAATCCCAGCCTTTCTTGCAGAGGAATACAAGGGTGACACTTGGGACCTTAATCCCAGCCTTCCTTGCAGAGGCACACAAGGGTGGCACTTGGGACCTTAATCCCAGCCTTCCTTGCAGAGGAACACAAGGGTGACACTTGGGACCTTAATCCCAGCCTTCCTTGCAGAGGCACACAAGGGTGGCACTGCTCTGCAGCAGCAGAATGGCCAGATGGAGCCAAGGCATGCAGGGGTTCATGGGTTCAGGAATCAAGCACTGAGCCTGATTTCCCTCCAAGCCTCGGATGACGAGGCCTTTGTTGGGGTTTTTTTCTGTCACTGGGCTAATATGAGGCTTTCCCAAACCTCCCACTGATCCATGACACTCACCAGCCTGCTGATGCCACACATATGACACCAGCTGGGGTTCCCAGAGGCACCAGCTGGCAGCAGTTGGCCAATTTACCAGGTTCAGTGAAGAACCTGGAGTTAAACACACCTGGAGCTCTCACACCCCTCCAGCTCTTCCTTCCACCTCACCCCTGAGGCACCTTGGAGGGACAGCACAGCTGGGTGTCCCTGCTGCCTGTGCAGGGCTAAGTGAGGGGTTTTGCCTCTGCACACACACCCAGCAAGCAGAGCTCTCCTCTGATGCTCCTGGAGGAGCAAATGAGAGGTGCAGGAAAATCTGACTTGTCCCTTGTCTCTAAATGAGAGAGGTGCAGGAAAATCTGACTTTTCCCTTGTCTCTAAATGAGAGAGGTGCAGGAAAATCTGAGTTTTCCCTTGTCTCTAAGCAAGAGAGGTTCAGGAAAATCTGACTTGTCCCTTGTCTCTAAATGAGAGAGGTGCAGGAAAATCTGACTTTTCCTTAGTCTCTAAATGAGAGATGGAGGAAAATCTGACTTTTCCTCAGTCTCTAAATGACAGAGGTGCAGGAAAATCTGACTTGTCCCTTGTCTCTAAATGACAGAGGTGCAGGGAAATCTGACTTTTCCCTTGTCTCTAAATGAGAGAGGTGCAGGAAAATCTGACTTTTCCCTTGTCTCTAAATGGGAGAGGTGCAGGAAAATCTGACTTGTCCCTTGTCTCTAAATGAGAGGTGCAGGAAAATCTGACTTGTCCCTTGTGTCTAAAGAAGAGAGGTGCAGGAAAATCTGACTTTTCCTTAGTCTCTAAATGAGAGATGGAGGAAAATCTGACTTGTCCCTTGTCTCTAAATGAGAGAGGTGCAGGAATATCTGACTTTTCCCTTGCCTCTAAATGAGAGAGG